TATATCATTTGTTAACGATGAGTTAGCAAAGAAAGCAGATAATCATTTGTTAACGATGAGTTAGCAAAGAAAGCAGATAAAATATGTTAACGATGAGTTAGCAAAGAAAGCAGATATAAATTTGTTAACGATGAGTTAGCAAAGAAAGCAGATATATCATTTGTTAACGAAATATACCAAAGTTTAGTTGGAACAAAAAATATTGAAACTATTGTTGGCGACTTTTCTGTCAATGAAGAAAACAAATATTTTAGATGGGAGTTTGTACAGTCCTTAAGAAATGGTATACGGTATAAACTCATTCCGAAAAATAACAATGAAATGTATGTAGGCTATATAAAGAATAATGGCACACAAGTTAAAGTTCCATTAGACAACAACTGCTACTTAAACTTATATGGAGACGAACAAAAGAAATATTTAAGAGTTTATGAAATGACGGATATGACATTGTCTAACGTAGCTCCAGCACCGTATTATTATGACTATGGTGTTGACGCACACATGTAGACCCAAAAAAGCAAACATTATATTTAGAATATTATAGATATAAAAGATATAATGCAATAGAAAAAACGAGAATAGTATACTATTATGAAGATGACAAAAATAAATATTATAGTCAAGATTTTACATACCCTGAAAACATAAGATTATATTATAAAAAATATTCTGACACAAACCAGAAGAAACCCGAAATAGTTACACTATATTTTAAGTTCAAAAGAGACAATCCTATAATATCTCATATGTTTGATTTAATGAACCCAGTAGGTTCTATTTATACATCTATGGATGTGAGAGGTCCTCAAGCAATGTTTGGTGTTGGTGCATGGGAACAAATAGTCGACAGGTTTTTGTATTGTGCAAACTCTTCAAAGGAAACAGGGGGAAGTAAAACAATTACGGGTGAAAATTTACCTGCACACAGTCACTACATAGATTTAAGCACATCTCAAGCAGGTTGGCATAAGCATAGATATTGGGATTGGTCAGGAATGACAAAAGGTAAAGGATATGATGTTAAAGATGATGTTAAATTTGCCATAAATTGTTACTGGAGTGACACTCAGGGAGAAGGAAACCATACACATCGCGTTTCAGGATATACACAAACAACGGGACAAAGTAAAGATTACATGCCACCATTTATGACTGTATTCGCATGGTATAGAGTTCAATGAACGCTCAATGTTTGTGAAACAAACTTTAGGAGCTCCAAAAGAGCAAACAGCATAATTTAAATTTTTATTTTAGTATAAATGAAGATTCTACCATATGGTGTTATTGGAAGAGATAAAGATGGAAACCCAATATTTGATCCAAAGTTAAAATTAAAGTTACTGACAAGACAACAACTTGAAAAGTTGCTGAAACCAAAACAGAATGAGAAAATGAGAAAATGAGAAAATGAGAAAATGAGAAAGAAAAAAAAATTTAAATTATGCAATTTTATTTTTATCATAAATGACCAAATTAATTAAGCCAACTATTTCTAAATTAATGATACCAATGAAATCATTTCATGGAGTACTTATCCCAGGTTCTTCACAATTAGCCGGGGCAAGTGTTGTGACTCAAGGTGGAACATTAGCGAATCCATTCAAATTATTAACTAAAGATGAACTTAATAAAATGATGATAAAATAACTGATAACAAAATTTTATTTCACTACTACCATAAAAACAGGTGAAAAAACAGGTGATATCTCACCTCTTCACCTAAATTATATTTTAGGTCAAAGCTTCCACGAGAGAAAAGATTCCTCATTCGCTAAGGATTCCAAAAATGAAAAAATCATTGATTTCGGCTGAGAAAAAACAGCAAAACCCTTCTTCCACGGGAACAAAGAAATAAAGAAGAAATAAAGAAGAAATAAAGTAAATTTTTTATTTATTCCCGTGGAAGATAGAGCACTTTTATGATACTTTTTATTCACGACAAACAAGACAAATAAAGAAAATAAGAAAATACGGCGCTGTCGCGGTTCGAACCACAGACCTTGACCCCTCCATAACACCACCTTAGACCACTGTGCTACGTAGCCTGTCGACATAAGATTTTATAAATTGCATATTTGACGTAAATTTATTTCCCAGTTATTCAAAAATAATTAATTATTGAATAACCTAAAAACATTCACGATAAAATAAGTGATAACAAATTTTTATTTTTATCATAAATGAATACCCCACAAGCTCAAAATTTACCACGAATCATAACAAGGGAGGAAATGATAAAAATGATGCAAGAACATGTTAAAAATAACAAACCACTAAAATTGAGAAAATGTGGTTATGCGGTAATGATGGAAAGAGAGATGTTGTCGAAGAGGAATAAAAATTAAATTTGGATAGAGTTTAAAAATTCATCTTTATTAAATTCATCTCTTCCAATCAATTTATTTATTCTATTAAATTCTTTTATTTTTGCTTCACTCAGTTTAAGGATTGAACGATAAGTTTCTAATTTTTCGATTATTTCTTTCCTCTCTTTATCGTTTTCAACCCCACCACATTGTGGCTTCTTTTTGTAATAACATATTTTTGATTTAATTCTGTTTAGTTTCTTTTTATATTCATCGTCTGGACTCTTGACTGCTTCGTTGTTACTCATTTCTTACGAAATAAAAAAATTAAATATTATTTAAATATAATGGAGTAATAAAATAAATCGGAATTTCTATTAATTTATTGTCAACTTCAACTAATGCATTGCCGTTAATATATCTAACAAATTCAGCTATTGTGTCAAATCTTCGTCTTCTTTTTGTCATTGATTTATCAGTTTTTCCATAATCGAGATGAATCAAAACTTTATCCCCTTGTTTAAAATTCATGAGCCCCGAATTAATTTGTTCACGTTTAACATCATTCAACCTTTCCATTTGCTTTCTAATATATTCCCATTCTTTTGAAATATCATTTTTCATTTCCACCGGTTTCATGTTTATTGTTCTATGCCATGTATTATTGTAATAATATACTAACTGCTGTATGATGGAGTCATGATTTCCATCCCAGTATATCTGACCATTAACCCCTAACGCATCTCTAAGAGTTCTCATTACCGCATCAACTATTTTATTATGAAACGTATATGGAGAGGATGAAAAGTAAAAATTAATTTGTGGGAAATAATGAGCCATAGCTGCCTGAAATCCTTTATCACCATCACCCCTTATATTATCTACTCTTTCATGATCTAGTAAGTATTGAATAGCTCTTCTTGTTTCCTGTTCTGTTTTCCCTTTCACCGGAATGCAATATAAATATCTGGTGTTAATGTTAATGGCAAATAAATAAGTAACGTTTCCTCTTGAATATTCTAAATGATCGATTTCGTATGAATATGGATATGGTGCAAATGAAGGGCGACTAAATTTTTCCTTTAACGGTTGAATTTTTGGGTCAGTTGGTTTATTTAATATTTTGAAATCCTTTTTAAAATCTTTTTGCTTCTTTAATGTTTGAAATGGATATAATAAAGTGAATGATGAAGGATTAACTGAAGGAGGAGGAGGTACTGTCGTTGGAGGGTTTGGTGTTGCAGGTGGTTTAATTTTATCTGCTTTTTGATTTTGGATTTCATTCCCCCCTTCATTAATTCTGGATGTATTCTATTCATTTGTTTTAAATATGCTGTATATAAAGGTTTGATATACTTTCCCGCTTCGAGTTTATGTTGAAGGATGAATTCCAAAAGTTGATCTTCATTTAAAAGTCGGGCTGAATATGGTTTAACTAATGAATCATAAATTAAAGCTTGTGCTTCATTTATGGTCTGAAGGACCTGGGCGTTTTGCACCTTTTGTTTTTGTTCCTTTGGTTTTTGCGGCTCAGGATTATATAATTTATATAATTTATATAATTCATCAATATCTTCTTCTGTTAATACTTTATTTTTGAAATCTTTCAATTGTTTAAGTTGTGATTTACTTTTTCCCTTTGAATATTCATTATTTTTAATTTTGTCTTTAATTTTAGAAATTATTTTATCATGATATTTCAAAACTTCATTTTTATAATACGAATAATAATAATCCATATCATCACCCGTTATATTATTATCATGTTTTTGGAGATATGATTTTAATTCATAATAATTAAGAAAATTTTGATTAAGTACTAAATCATCAATTAAATTTTTTAAATCTACGCTATTCATTTATATAAAAATAAAATAAGTGTTTTAAGGGTGCCCGCCTCTTTGAATCATAGTATCAAAACCATTATTTACGGTTCCTTTTGTCTCTTCTGTGGCATTTTATTAAATAAATGGCATACAACATCCATTTTCACAACATACAGCCTTAGTGTGTGCTCCTGTTAATGCAGTCTTACCGATTGTTAAGCGAGTCATTGACCCGTTTTTAAGTTGTAAATTAATATTCTGACCATCAAATATCACTTTATCATTTATTATATCCAAATAATTTTTAGGTGTTAATTGTTTATTTTGTCGTAAACTAACTCCTTTCATTTTTTGTGCAATCTTTTTAAAATCACTTCCATCAATTGAACCGTTGAATGAAGTATAACACTTAGGACATAAAGCAACCATGTTATCACCTTGTTTCTCAATTGCTAAACCCAATAACTTCTTCTCATGTGCTTTTTCTTCAGCTTTATTCTTTAATTTAGGTTTAAATTTCTCATTAAAACAGAAGAAATCAAAAGGTGCGAATTTGTAAATGTTTTTATCATAAAATTTTTTATCGGTTACAATTGCTTGAAATGCTTGAGTGTTAGGAAGATTTGGGTCGCCAGCGATTGCCCAATAAGATGAATCAGTATCACCTTCAATGAAATGAAAACGATTAACATCCATGCATTTATACATAAAATCATAAATGAAAACCAAATACCAGTATTTTGCGTTATCTAAAGTGAAGAATGCCTCTTGTAAACATGTATCACATCTATAAAATCTATCTTTAAGCATCACTTGATACGTATCCTCTCCTATTTCTCTTATGTTTTTAAACTTATTTGACATACATGCAACGCGTGCCTTCTGTGCATTCATTATTTTAGTCTTTGCGTAATTTTGTGTATTCATTGCATCGTAACCATATGATCCATTAAGTGAAATCTTGCAAAATAAACTTTTTCCTTTATTTCCTTCTAATTCAGCCTTTTGTCTTTCGTTCATAAATTCATTCGCAAATTCAT